TTTTTTTTTTTATATGAGAGTTGAAGTCGGTTTTATTTTGCTAAAAATTTACTTGTTACTTCATACTTTGCTTCGGTCATCACTTCCGTATCTGTAGAGCTCAAGAGCATCAACTAAATAAATACGACAGTGTTTTCTGGATCATAAAATTTTTGGAACACTTTCTCTTTGATCATTAGCGCCTCGAACAAAATGTCTAATTTCTAAAATAAACATCATGAAATCTTTGTATTTATTCAGATTCTGGTCCTTCATTAGAAATGTGCAGAAATTCTTTTATTAATCAAAATATTTTTACTATAATTCCAGGATCACGATTTACAACATGGCTACCTCAAACCTGCTATAAAAATACGAAAACTACCCATCGATACGTCGCAGTTCCCGATTTTGATTAGTAAAAGTGGCATAGAAATTGCGCTTAAAAGGAATTTCAATTAAATTAAAAAGAAAAGCTGTTAATCAGAATCATTAAAAAATGTTTGAAAATAATAAGACTTTGAACGCTAATTAGTTTTTTGTATATAATATTTAAAGTCAGGCGCCTTTCTGTGATTAATGCAAATATAAAAAAAGATCACAAATTCATTGCAAAATATAAAACGAACATTTTTAACGATAATTTAGTAAAAAGAAATTTTGCTTAAACTTGAGGTTTATTAATTGACTAAAGCTGATGCCAGATAAAACGCTTGCTTCGCTTTACGTGACAGATTCGCTTTGACAGATAAGATGAATTGTATGAAAATGCACAAAGCATGCCACATAAATCGTTGAAGCGGCAGCGCGAAGCGAAAAGATGGTCAACTCCCATCTTTTTGCGCGCTTTGACAATCAGCCGGTTTAATATTTATTTTGTTTCGTCCAAATTCGGGTTTTCATGCAGAAACATAAAACTTAATTACATTGCTGATAATTTTAAATCAAAATAATTAAAATCCACAGCAACTTTGATGAGTAAAAAAGCGGTACAACATTGTTTTCTTGGCGTTCATTGTGGCATACCTTTTGCGTCTGGCGCTTTGCTGGCAAAGTTATAAATGTCACGCAAAGCTACAAAGTTTTATCTGGCATCAGCTTAAGTGATTTAATTGTCGACAATTCAAAATAATAAAACTGACATGTGCGAAAGATTTTTGGATATTAAGTGAAAAAATATAAGGAGAAACAAATTATTAATGTTTGTTTTGCTTACAATAATAAGTGTACAATGCCTGAAATTCAGTAATCAGTATCTAGTCACTAACAGAGGCTTTTCGTGGTTAATATCGATTATAAAGTTAACATATTTTTGGTTTTTTTTTTCAAAAGTAAACTAACTTATCTTGGAACGGTAAAAAAGGCAAATTCGGATATAAAGCCTTGTCTTTTATCCTTGAGTTGGAGGGGCTGTTTCGCTAACTCTTTATAAAGTTAGCAAAGAGCCTTATATCAAAAAAATAAATTAATAAATAAAAGAACGACACAACTAATTAACGGCAAAGTTATGGGTATATGCGACATTTTTTTCTTCATGTTGTTTAAGTAAAAAAAGATTTACTTATTTATAGTTTCAAATTTAGTGAGTACTCAAAAAACACAACAAACCTCACCCAGGATTAGAGTGAAATCCGAACCCTGAAAAGAAGTGTCAAATCTTATCAGTGTTGGAATATCTACCAAGAGCTTAAATAAAATTTATTTATCATATTATATGGGAGTGAAGGATCTTGCTCTTAATAGCAAAACAAAAACACTTTTTTAGTGAAGTGTAATTTAAGAGGAAATATAAACCGATTCGCATAGTAATAAGCAAAGCACATTGAATGGGTAGCAGAAACAGCGTTGTAATTTGGATTTCTGAATTCCAAATGGTCCATGAATTTACTATAAAATGCAGAGTTGTAAGAAATTAATTCATTCTTCAATGTTAATTTTAATGTTCAAGGTCAATAATCCTCGCTCCCACCCCCACAGGATGAAAAGTTTTCCCGTACATTGACTAAATGAGTCGTGTGATATCTTAAATATCGCTCAAATGAAGTCATTGCTGTACCTACCGTGTTCCTTTTTTAGGAAAGTCCTTGTCAATTTGCCACTTTTATAATTTACCTTAATATTTATGAACTGTTTTCTTTGGGTCTTACTGCTGTACTAACGGTCGCCCCGAGCAATTTCGTCAATCGGAGGTAAGTGCAAGATCCCATTCAGGGTGTATGAGGGCGTCAGGCTATGGTGCGCTTACACAATGTTGCGGTCCCCTCGTATCCTCCATTTAGCCATATAAAAAGTAAATTCGTCTAAGATGAATATAGGGCCAAGGCAGACCAAACCCAGTGTGGGTTTCTATATATTTCAGCTGCAGCGCAATCCATTAGGTCCCGTTTGCGCAAAACAACTGCCTCTCATGAAATGATCGCGCATAATGAATTTCAATCAGATTTTATAAAATATAGCGGGTAATTTTTATTAAAAGAATTTCTTTATTATACAGGTAGCTCACTTTGCGAATTTGAACGAAATCGGTTAATAAATACGACTTTTATATGTAACTCCACTCCAGCGTCACCAAGGTGTTATCTAGAAGGCTATAATAGGACCATATATGCAGGGTTTAACCTCCGACAATGTACATTAGGGTGGTCAAAAAATGCATGTAAAATAGTAAAGTCGGAATTTCTATGCTCTCGCCCCCTAGGATTGTTCTATATCGAAAAAAAGTATACCCAATTTTTTTTTTATCTTCAAATCAAAAAACATTCAGGGGTCGCTCAAAGCGCTCAAAGTTTTCTATGTTTTTGGTATGGGAAAAGAGGAACTTTTCGTGGAAATGGTATGGAATTCTTGAAAATCAAAATTTTTTGATCGGAAGAATCTGTTTCTCTTCAAAAGATTCCCAATAATAATACCCAATTATTTTTTTAAAAATTTTTTTAGTAACTATATTTTATAGGTCCACCAAAACCTTTAGAAAATTTCAGAAAATACAATGGGGGGATAAACAAAAAATCTTCATTATTAAAAAATTGCTATATAAATAATAGGATATTGTTATTGGAAGTCTCCTGAAGAGAATCAGAGTTTTCCGATCGAAAAATATTGATTTTCAAGAATTCCATACCATTTCCACGAAAAGTTGTGGTTTTTCCCATGCAAAATACATGGAAAACTTTGAACGCTTTGAGAGACCTCTAAATATTTTTTGATTTCAAAATAAAAAATAGGGGTATACTTTTTTCGATATACTGTTCTAGGGGGTGAAAGCATTAAAATTCCGACTTTACTTATTTTGGACCACCCTGATGTACATATATGTTTCGAATGAAAAAAAATATCATCATGAAAGTTATAAATGTTTCGAATTTGCATTAACAAACTCGGTTCATAAATAGGGCTTTTATCGGGTCCGAATTTCGCAAACGCTTTTTTCATCAGCAGGTAGCTTTTACTTTGAATTTGAACGAAATCGGTTCATATATACGACTTTTATAAATAACTCGACTTTCGCGCCACCTAGCGGGTCTATTTTTGGTAAACGTATTTTCCATCATGCTGGTAGCTTACATTGTGAATTTAAAAGAAATAGGTTAGTAAATACGATTTCTAAAAATAACTCGACTCCAGCGCCACCTAGCGGGTCCATTTTTCGCACACGTATTTGTCATCATAGAGGTAGCACGCGGTTTGAATTTGAACGAAATCGGTTCATAAATACGATTTTTATAAATAACTCGACACCAGCGCCACCTAGCGAGTTTTCTGGTAGCCTATAATAGGACCGTATATGCAAGGTATAACCTCCGAAAATTTTACTGAAATCTATGCAGTTGTTTTTGAGTTAACTCCGAACAACGAAAACGGCTATTATTTTATATATATAGAAGATTATTAATACTAATATCAAACGATTGTGAGGAGCTGATGTAAAAAATAAACTATATAAATATAAAAAGTATGGCAATGGTGGAAGCTTTTCTGGTAGTCCGGCGATATTTGTGCGTAAAATATCGATATCTGATATTATCGTCAAAAAAAAAACGTATCGGAAGAATAAATATCGTCAATATCGATATAATATCAACAATCCTAGTTCTAGTGATTTTCGATAGTTTCTATCACTGTCGTATCACGCTGATAAGCTTAGTAAGATTACACTTTCCCAAAAATATCAGAATTTAGTATTAAAAGGAATAAAATAATTTTATGCCACCACATTACCCGCTCATTAAATATATTCAATCAATAAGTGTGTTTTGAAATTTTAAAAATTGAAAATTTAAGTGGCAGGATAGCTTGCTAAGTAGTTATGCAATCATAAATCAATTCACGCACATGTCAGACTGTCCAAAGTTTCCCGCGCTGCAATTTAATAATTCAGAACGTATTTAATGATATGTGGTAGAAGGGCGCATTTAACTTTCTGTACAAACGAGTACATATGTAGTATGTATGTAAGTCTGAACATTTCAGTTAAGAAATTGTCGTAGTAGATAGTACTAAGTTTAACGTATTTCCAAGAAAATTCTAGCCGCAGATGTGGGTACATAAATAGTTCATTTTGCCAAAGAAGTAGGTAAAGCAAAAAACTTTGGAAGCAACTAGTGATACGTTAACCTATTTATTGATTTAGTGTCATGGGAATTTATAGCAATTATAAACAGATAGCGCATAAATAATAAGCACTTTTTAAAGAAGAATTTAATAAAAGGAATTTCGAGAATGTTTTATGACGAGCTGTTGCAAAGGGTTAGTAGTTTAAATGTGAATATCTGATAGCTTGTACAACTTATAAACCTATTTCGAGCTTTTCTCTTAATGCTGATAATGCATAAAGTTTATATAATAAGATGGTCAGTTTATGTGTTTTCTTTAGTCTTCTCACTTAAGCCATAACTTAATAGGTATGTACATATCTCGCAGTGTTGGAAGATAACTAACTGCAAAATAACAAATTTAGACATTAACATAACACATGTCTAGTTAAATTCAAAGGCCCATAGTCATAGTCGCAAGTTAAAACTCATTCTTGTTAAAATACAGTCTTAAGTTTAGAATAGAATTTTAAATTGTGTCAATCATAGACATCTTAGAAACAGCTTTAGGTTAAGATGAGAGAGAACAGTGCTATCCATATGAAGAGAAAAAATTTACCTGGCAATATATAGAGGTATGAGTATTTTAATTAGTTCACCCTGTGTGCGCTGCGGATTTAGCTAGCCGGGAAGTCGTGGATTCGTATCCCATTGCCAGGGAATATTTTTTTTACATATTTTTTTGTTATTTAAAGTATTATTAAATTTTTTTTTTATTTAATTATAGTTGCTGTGGCATTTTTAATTAAAATTAAACTCCAAATACTTTGATTAATAACGAAATAATTATATGAAATACCATAAACACAAAAAGATAATAAAACAAAATTTTATAAAATAAAATTAAATAGTTTGTATGTTAAAAAAAAATATAAAATAAAATAAAAAAAATCTCTGCAATCGCTCGAAGTGGGGGACCGAACCTGGGTGCTATTGCGTTTAATACTTCCACAACAAAACAAAGCTTCGAACCTTATTTTACCATTTTAAAACCGCGTTCTCCTCATTTTCAAGTTAAAATTCTGTTTTTGCCATAAAATGCATTTTAAGTTGACTATAAAAGAGTTAAACTGATGATTGCAATAAAAAAACTA